AATAGTATCTGATTAATTCGAATTTATTAGCTTTTCTTTCTAATTAGTAGCTATCTTTTAGTTTATAAATATTTTTTGTTTTGATGCATTTACCTCTATTCGAATTGTTTTGAACTAATTCGAAATATTCTGCAAAACATTATGTAATTTTGCGCTATAAGTTTCATAATTTTGCGTAATATATTTCGTAATTTAACGTTATTTATTGCGCAATATTTTGCAACTTTTTGCGCAATATTATGTCCAGACCGTAATTATTGCGCAATATTTCGGGCTGTAATAACTTACGTAAAATTATGTTAATATATTTCGCTGATGTAGGTAGAGATGCGATCCGTTATCTGATTTCCTATTTAAAATTTAACGGTTATCTGGATACATATCCGGATTCTTTATAATAATTTTATTATAAAATTAAATTAGCAGATATTCGGATCGCATCTCTATAACCTGCTATAGGGCTTTCTTCACTATATTAAAGTCAAAAGGATTTTTATCAAGATTACTACGTATAATGGAAATGATCTTTTAATATATTATCTGATAGCCAATCAATTTTAAGTATTATAATCAAATTCTAGAACATTAATTTATTGTCATATGACGTAGATCATCATTATATTTGGATATACCATATTTGGAAAAACACCGGACTGATATAAGTGATAATCACATACCAATTTTAGCAATGATTTTCTCAAAATCACGTGATTATCCCAAAGCCCCCTTTTGCTGTGGGTCCCCCCATATGTAATTTTAAATTCTGAACAACCTTTATTAAGTGCCAAACATTAGCTTTACTTAGTACAATTTTGACTTTTATATATAACAACTGTTAAAAATTCTTGGGGTAGCTTATTTTCAGATAAGAGATTTTTATATTTTTTGCTTAAAAGAAGGGGTAGCTTATTTTTGAAGTAGCTTATTTTCAGGAATATATAGTACTATTTAATATATTGAACTTTATTCAATAAAATTATTAAACAATTGGACTTATATTTAATTAATACAATTGAACAATATTAATAATTTAATTAGACATTGTCTAATATATAATAGTTTAAAAAATTATTTGAATTAATTAGACAAATTAAATAAAATCTATTTGAACATTGTTCATACTATCATTAACCCTGCTGGGTAAAAATTTGAAAATTTCTAAAAAAATTTTTATTTGGTTTAATAACTGGTAGGCTTTAAAAAATTTTTTTATATAAATTTTTAAAAAAAGCTAGTTTATTTAAAGATTTTATGTTATAAAAACCTAGTAATTAAATTTGTATGGCCTAATATACCCCTTCTATAATCTTATTACCGGATAGTCTACTTGTAAAAAGATTTTAATCAATACTATTTTTAACTATTTCTACTAGCATCTCGCCTTTATTTCCTTTTAGCATAGTGAAATAACTCAAATCATGAGTTATTACTGCGCGTTATTTAAAATTCTGATTTATCAGCAAAATACAACTATGGAAAACACTATATAGGATCTTGTCTCACTGCTCATGTAGTCTACAGCTAGTTCCTAACATCGTCAATCTATCCTATTTTATTTCACTTTTCTTTGATATCCGAGCTGTTTAGTCAGGCTATCAAAGTACTTATCTTTTACATCCAGGTTGTCCACCTGGGCTATCAATCATACCCATAAGGCCGTTTGAAGTTGATTCTTCGGTTAACATCATCCCCAAACGAACAACCAATCAAAATGCTGATTTATGTTGGCCAATGAAATTGACCCATTTTTATATGTTCGTTTCATTTTACCCCCTCCCCCCAAGAGTTCTAAAGGTGATGTTAACCGAAGAATTTACTTCAAACGGCCTAACTACCAAATACAGAACATTTCCTTTGCCTGGCGGTAGGTGGGTTGGCATCAACGACTAAGCTAGACTTGCGTTGAGTTAGCAGCAAAGACAAAGAGGGAGAACAAATTTTTTCATCTCTTAAATAGCCATTTACTATGACCTCATACTTATCATCACTCAATCAATCAGATCGATACTCATCACACAATACATCATACTTACAAATCGCTTATAACCATCACTCAATCAATCAAATCGATACTCATCACACAATACATCATACTTACAAATCGCTTACCCTTAAAATCGCACATTCTACGTCATGGGTGTGGGTCGTGGTCTCGTGACAAATGGATGCCTCGTGATTTCGTTTATGGCATCCCATATTCCGACATTTCTTTAACACGTCACTTTAACGGGGTAATGTACGATTATCAGATAAATTTCTCAAGCAAATTGCCTGGAAAAGTCTACCGTTAAAGGGACAAATCTAGGATAAAATTCATAATTAAAAAAAAAACAACTTATCGGACTTCGGCCGAACTGCATATTGTTGACAATATAGAGTTTTGTAATAGAATTGAAAAACTTCAATCATATGAAATTCAGGATAATCCATATCACCTGCCAGGCTAACCTACGAGCCGGCACTGCTTCGACTTAACCACCCACCACAGGTGACCCGGGTAGTACCTGCCGAATAATCACGGCTCACAAGTAAAATTAAGTTCAATAGGATGCAACAGGCACAAATAGACTGCCAAATTTTAGCTCCAAAAGAGGTCAATAGGATATTATCCTATTGATAATATGATATCGATTATTAACTATTAAAGCCAAAATGTGGCAGCAATAGGAATGTCTATTGATGCCTATTGCATCCTTATTGTACTGAACTTAATTTTACTTATAGCTTATCTAGGAAAACAAAACCATTTTGATAATGAAACTTTAAAAAATAAAAAGCTACACAGCGAATTAGAAAAAAAGTTATAATTTAAGTTTTTAAATGATTGGCTGGATATGTCGATATTGGGTTCCCTATCATTTCCTCGACATTATTTTTCTCGAAAAAATTTCACCGACAATCATTTCCCGACACTTTCATTTCCCCACAGATCCCCGACACTTTCATTTCTTCATTTCCCTGACAATCATTTCTACAATGATTGTCGGGGAATGAAGTATCGAAGAAATGAAAGTGTGGCGGTCGGGGAAATGATTGTGTCGGGGAAATGATTGTCGGGGGAATGAAAGAGTCGAGGAAATGATTGTCGGGGAAAAAAATGCGGGGAAATGATGCTTTGATATCATATTTTGCATCTGCACATATATGCACATTCACATATTATATTCAACCTGAAATTCCAATTTCGATTTAGCTGCTGCAAAAATCGAAATAAATTACTGCACTTTTGACATATGGGCTGCCGTCAATAGAAATAAGGCAGATTGACATTTTTAAAAAAATTAATATCATACCTAGATGAATTTTGAAGCTATCTTGATGATTTAATATTTAAAAGAAAGCTTAGATTGTAAGCTTTCTTTTGATTTAGATATCCTCACTGTGAAAGTTAAGATATTAGTTTTTTTAAAATGTCAATCTGCCCATTTCTATTGACGGCAGCTCATATGTACATGGGAGATAAGATACGTAAGACATACACGTACGTACGTATATCAGATATGCGTACGTAAGAAATAAAGTTTCATCGAATTAAATGCTAGTCTGAAAATGGTAATGAGAGCTAAGATACGATATAGTGATAGCGTATCAATTTGATACAATTAGGAGTTGAGATTATATGTTAAATCCTAATATGATAGCGTCATTAATACAATTATCTCGTAATATCCATGAAATCCGATACGTCGTCATATTTTTGATTTAGTGTAGGGAATCAATAAAAAAAATTTTATTATATTATTAATATATACCCGATTAATACCAGATTAATACAAGGCTAAATATGATTAACGTTAACAAGTGCCAAAAAGCATATTACAATAACAGTGATCAAAGGAGCTAAACAAATATAAGAATAAAATAGTAGAGTGGCCATCTCTTCCTCAAAATTACCAGTTAACTGAACCAAATTAATACAATTAATAGCAGTAGGACCACTAGAAATCATCATTAAAATAAACCAAAGCATAGGATCATTTCTATATAAAGATTTTGTTAATATAATCATGATTCCACCAATAATTGGCATTATCAAATATCTACAAGACATTACATAAGAAATAGAAGCAAACATTTCTTTTCCTTTTGAACGAGGTAAATTCCATAATTGTGCACCAAGCAAAATGAGCATTAATGGTATAGTAATAGAACCCATAGATTCCATTGTATAATATATTATGAACAAAGGCGCCTGATCACCAAAAAATAAATTTTTTAGAGGTGCAATTGTACCAACAAACAACGCGACTATTGAAGCCATTAATGGGGGATTCATAAAATTATAAATTTTAGTTAAAATTTGAGGTATTATGAATTGATTATTAGTTTTTTTTGATGATAATAATAGAGTTCTTTCATTAGGTGGCATGATTTGGTCTTTATGAGTTGGCAGCGCACTCGAATCTAAATGACGGTCTGGCGATTCTTTTCTGAGTAAGGACGCGCCAAAACTCCACCTAAAAAAAAAAAAAATTCAATAAATTTAGTATATTTAAATAAAAACGAAGATTAACACATATAATACATATAAAACAAACCGTAATAAAGTGCTAAACAAGACTGTTAACATAATGTAAGATTTTCCGCGTTTCATAGATTCAGCTGGACTATCATCTTCACTTTGTAATAAAAATTGCATCGCACTGGTATTCCTCATACCATTTAACAAACCCAACAAGAGACTTGTTATGTTATTGAACATAATTCCTACTATGATAAATTTTGTTTCAGAAAACGATAAATGTAATAATTTTCCGCCCAAAACTCCAAGAAGACCACTTATGATAGAAAAAATTCCATAAAAAACAGGAACAGGCCATAATTGAATTAAATTTATTAAGTCTATATCAGCAGCAGTTTCTGAGAATAAGAGACATGGTAATAGGATTTTTATTAATAGATTACTGATACCCTATAATTTTTTTTATAATAAAGAATAGATTAATACAAAATTTGAGATTTAAAAACTTGGGATAAAAAAATTACCTTCTGTATGCTAGGAGTGATTATACCATATTTCGCAGCGAGATAGCCAGTTAAACAGACGAGAAGAACTTCCGCACTAGACTACAAAACTATAAGTAAAAGTCGAAGATAATCTAAGACAATACGTATATTCATTTAAAAAAAAACATACTTGAGCTGAAGCAAAGAATAATGAATAATAGTCCATTATAGATAATAGTGGTTCTTTAGAATCTACAACGAATTGGACTTTTATTCAACAAAAGCTAATGAATATATACGGAAATGTGATTTGTAACTATATTGAGGTTTATGGTGAGGCCAACTGGATTCTAAATCATTTCCACTTACAACATATTTATATTTTTAGGTCGAACATGATTTAAATATAGCGATAGTCGGTCGTAAAGTGATCGTCTTATGATTGATAGGATTTACTGCTCGCCTTTTTGCAATAAGAATAATAATTATATATACTGTACTTGTGATACAGTTATCGTTAAAATCTACGTAGCATTTTACGAGTATTACAAGAAAATTTATTTTACAATAAATTAATCTTTGCCAGGATGAAATGTGTCATTTCACAGGTGAAAATACAATTTGTAACATGTGGAATTAGTAGATCGGCAAATCTGTATCGTACTCGCTTGCTTGCTATTAGTCAACGCAAGAGTATGACCACGATCATCAATCGAGAGCCCTTAAAAAGTAGTAAAGTAAATGCTCATTCATGCCAATGGGAGCTAAACATAACTATATAATTTTCGTGGGAATAAACTATAAATTTAATTCTTACCAAACGCAGATTAGTAAAAACTATGAATTTTTTGCATTATCATGTTCACCATGCATTGTTGTTAAAAACTTGTCCTGTGCCAAACATGCATATTGATTAGCCAAAAATCATTCTATAGATTTTCCAGATTTTCTATTATCAACCCATGATCAATAAATATTTTAATGGTATAATACCTATGTAATATAAATATATATGTGTCGAACTATTGAGCAAATATTCGAAACACGAGTAAATTACACTAACATATCTAAAATAACAGGAACGATATACAATGGGTGGAGAATAATACCTTATCCAGACATTTCCATACGTACTACCGTTTAAAATATCAGCCTGTAAGAGATGGTATATATCGATATGGATGGAAAACTTGTAGATTGAATACCCGTATTTGAGAATAACGTCCAGGGGGATTTAAATACGTCATCGTGATATCATATATCATAATTTTATCAAATAGACTAGTGTAATAATCCGTATTCCTAACGGGAACTTGGTTGATTTTTAATCGTTAAAAGTTTAATAAGTTCGTTTGATGGTTAAATAATATACAGTACGTGGCTAGGCAATCAGCTGCGCACTTGATCAATTTTATAGGGACCGAGTTCGATAACTAATAAATGAACGTTGGTTACGTATTTGCGCGTAATACGTGACGCCCATGAACTATTTTGAATAATGGCCAGAATTAAGCTTAATTTAGGCCAAAATTCAAATTACACCCCATAATCAATGGTACGTAATACAATTAAAGCAATTTTATCTTTAAAAAAATTTTGGTTTTAGTCGTTCTAAGTTGCAGTACCCCATGACGTGATTGTATGAAGTGACTAAAAATTAAATAGGTCAAAAAATTAAAAATTTCGTTTGTATTCAGAATCGATTCTCATCAAAAGTCGAACTTTTTGCTGCGAATGCAGAAATAAAATTTTTAAAATAATCAGTATTTTAAAAGATAATGTGTTAATCTACCCAAATTAAGATTTTTATGTGGATCGGATCAACGGTTTTTTTTAATTTTTTTTTAATTTTTTAATTTTATTTATATTATCCGCAAAACCTTTAATAACAACACAAATAGTGAATTGACCCTAATGCTGTTAGCCGAAATTGTTTTGAGCTAATAGAAATATTTCGACATTTGATATTTAGTCTGCCGAAATACTAAAATAATGCCGAAATTCTAAATTATGCCGAAACGTCTAAATAATGTCAAAGTGTCTAAATAATGTCGAAATGTCTAAATTAAATATATATATAAAAACTTATTTATTAGCAAATATCCGAACTTGCTTATTTTGTGCCTCTATCAAGCGGGTATATATTTTTCTAAACGATATCAGCTTGAAAATTTTCCCACATATTATGCGTGCTTTTTTTCACACAGTACTCACTATGCTAAATGAATTACTAATCAGTTACTTTTAATGTACAAGCTCTCTCTACTACGTACTAATTTAGACATTTAGTCATATAGTATTTATTTAGTCAACTATTTAGGCATTTAGTCAAATTAGAATTTTGACATTTCGACAAAAAATAATGTCATGTCGAAATATATTCCGACACAAAATTGTCTAAATATTTACTTAATAGGGCATTTCGACTAACAACATTAGCCTAGACGCCAGAGAAATCATGTGTTACTTCGTATGTGAGAATTTAAGCTTCTACTATACCGAACTTTAACTCGAAAGAACGTGATATATGTAATTGAAGCAGTTACGTTCAATGATCTAATCTCTTCGATTTGTTATTTAATAGTACGCATATTACATTCCGATAAGTACATACGTACTAATTAAATTACGCAAATTAATTTTTTAGAGGCTAGATAAATTTGCACATACAGGTTTATTCATATAAACTCTTTGCTTTTAACACTAAAAATCGGTTTCGGTTTGATTTCAGAACCGGCTTATGGAACCGAACTCAAGCTATCGACAACCTGAATGTCTATAGTCCGTCTGGGTGAACCTATAGAAATTAGAAAAGGCTTTTTGTACTCCATTGTGACTCTATAGGCTATAGAAGATTTTGTACACCGTTGACTCTATAGGCTATAGAAGATTTTTGAACTCTGTTGTGACTCTATAGGCTATAGAAGATTTTGTACACCGTTGACTCTATAGGCTATAGAAGATTTTTGAACTCCGTTGTGACTCTATAGGCTATAGAAGATTTTGTACACCCCGTTGACTCTATAGGCTATAGAAGATTTTTGTACTCCGTTGTGATTCTATAGGAAGATTTTTGTACTCTTTTACAGGAGGGTGCAGGCTACCAAACGGTTTACCTGTACAGCACGAGTAACCCCCTATAGTAATAGGCCTATATAAGATTTTTGTACTCCACACAGGATTTATTTATACGTATTACGGCTAATTAATTGGAACGATTAATTGCTTAAATCAGTTAGTTGCCAATTTGAACTTTTCAATTGACCGATTTTCGATTCGTAAAATTATCAAAATTATTCTGGAAATATATATATTTTACTTACCGATTTCATTGAAAAGTATCATTATTACTCGCACTACAACCCAAATTTTTATAAATTTTTATATATCAAAATTCCCTCATATATATCAACTTTAATATGATTTCTCATTAATATCACTATCAACATGGTTTAAACCAATTCAAATGGGTTGATATTAACGAGGGTCACCTGTATTTTAATATTGTTAGTCACCTAAATATATATTTAGAAGAAATTAATTTTGCTAACATGAAACAATTATACAATATATATTGTATGCTTATATTATACCTCAAATTGAATCGTCCCGATTCAGAATAAGACTGCCCAAGTGGAAACTTTGTAAATTATTTTGGCAGAATTATAACTTTGGTGTTAGAACTAGGATTAGCGTTAGAATAAAAAAAAATTTTTAATTTATAGTAGTTAACATTAATATAACTTGGACCAAACTTATAAAATTCTCATATAGGACCATCCCTCGAGCTGATTTCAAATTAGCATTATAGTTTAAGTTTATTAAGATAGTCGAGGGTATTTAATAAGAAATATTTCAATAGGTATTTTGTATTATTATTCTTATTATTACAATTAATCAAAGCTTAAAAATCAAATATTTATTTTGTATATATAGCGTTGTGCTTCTTCAGTTCAATTTAGATTTAGATTTAGGCTTAATTAAACCTGAACTTGAATCTTAAATTTTGCAAATCTTCGAACTTATAATTTTTGAACTTGAATATAAAAATAGATTAGTTCAAAGTTTATAAATATTCAAATTCATAAAATATATATTATATATAAATAGAAATAATTTTAGAGTTAATCTACGGACCATCCCTATAGATTTTATAAAAATTATATTTTATTAAAAATTTAACTAAAAGTATTTCGATAACTATCCAAGCAAATTAGATAAACTTTTTTTGTTTTAATGCTAAAGATTTTTAGGAAAGGTTTATTAAATTTGCTTGAATAGTTGTTGAGAATCAAACTCATATAACATCTATACAAAAAATAAAATAAAAAAATTATAATAAACATATATAAGATTTCTCAACAACTATTCAAGTAAATTTGATAAGCTTTTGTTTATTTTAATATTAAAGATTTCTAAAAATAAAATAAAAAATTTATTAAATTTGCTTGAATAGTTATTGAAATATTTTCACTCAAAGTTTACAAATTGGAGACTAACAAGCTTAATTCTAACTTTAGAACATGATTCAAGCAAGCCCACAGTGGATTGGTTCTCATGTTGAAAAAAGTTAAAGAAGCTTAAAGGTGCAAAATGTAATATGCTAAAAAAAATTAAAAAGCTGGTTATACAACTAAAGTGTCTTTCACAAAGTTTACCAGTTCTCAAAACATTGGCAACAAGAATACCAGTTATTTATACAAATAGTGACTGTCTAGCATGTAACATTGGCATTGTAGAAACCCAGGATTAGAGACTGCAAATTTCTAATTTTAAGGCCCGGGCCCGGCCCGCAATTAGGGTTACAAATTTTTTGCCGGCCCGGGCCCGCCC